GAGCTCTTCCAGCGCTGCAGTCTTTATCTCTTCAATCGGTGCAAATCTCCGTCCTTTCATAGGTCTTTTTAGTTTTGGGAACAAGAAAAAGTCACATGGGGCCAAATCCGGTGAATATGATGGGTGAGGCATGATTGTGGTGTTGTTTTTGGCCAAAAAATGTCTCACAAGCAAAGATGAGTGAGCAGGGGCATTATCGTGATGCAAAAGCCATGAATAGTTTTTCCACAATTCTGGGCGTTTTCTTCGTATTGCTTCTCGTAAACGGCGCATAACTTCAAGATAATACTGTTTATTGACCGTACGTCCATAGGGTAAGAACTCCTGATGCACCACGCCATGGTAATCGAAGAAAACAGTGAGCAAAACTTTGACATTTGATCGAACTTGGCGTGCTTTTTTCGGTCTTGGCTCATCTGGGCTCTTCCATTGGGACGATTGGACTTTGGTTTCGATATCATAACCATATACCCATGATTCGTCACCAGTTATGACCCTTTTGAGTAAATCTGGGTCGTCGTTGACGTCATTCAACAGTTCTTGAGCGATGCTCATGCGACGGTTCTTTTGGTCAAAATTTAGCAATCGGAACAAACTTCGCTGACACACATCTCATGCCCAAAACGTTAGAAAAAATCTCATGGCACGAGCCAAGCGATATACCAACATCCTCAGCAACTTCTCTGATAGTGATTCGACGATTTTCCAGAACAATTTTCTCCACTGCTTGAACGTTTTCATCAGTTGTAGACGTGCTTGGGCGTCCAGAGCAAAGCTCGTCATTGGCATCTTCCCGGCCATCTTGGAAGAGTTTGTACCACTTGTAAACATTTTTTTTACTCAGAACAGTTTCACCGTATGCCACCGTCAACATTTCAAGTGTTTCAGAGCACTTTATTTTATTTTTTACACAAAATTTGATGCAAATCCTTTGATCCATTTTTTTCGATAGCAAGAAATCGCTGAGCACGCAAAACACTTATAACCTTTACGCCTCTCACAACCAAACAAAAAATGCTATACATTTGAAACTTGGTACAGATGTTCGGGAAGAGTGTACCAACATAACAAAACAAAAAAATTGATAATCGAAAATACGTTGCCCGTGAAATTTGAAAAGTCACCTTCCTTTTTGAACACACCTCGTATACTTTCATAGAAACAAATCACCGTCAAGGTTGACTTACCTAGGTGTGAAATTAGTGGAAAAAAACTTTTTTAATAAACGATATAAACAAAATATTGTTACTTTGGTCTATACAAAAATTCGTTAAACAGGGAGATGCCTAAAAAGCGACAACGAAATCCTCAATCAACTAAACAACTTCGCCGGTTAGCAGCAAAGCAGACTAAATTAGATGTATACGATGTTGTTTCGAAAATTACTTCGTCTAATCAGACATCTGCTCCTGAAAGTGATGACGAAATGACACCAGCTACGAACGCAGCTTGTTTATTACATGCAACTTTCCTGGAAAACTCAAAGAAAAATGTAAACACTCGTGTATCCGAGTCTCGTTTAGTTGAACTAGACAATGTAGACCATAATCGATCGATTCCGAATATAGACACTATTATTCAGAGTGAAATGGATGGATATGACTCGGAAAGTAGTTGTAGTTCTCTTGATTCCGAAATATATCGTTACAGTGACAGCGAAGCTGAAAGTATTCCGGATGGTGATAGTGATACAGACTTAGATTTTGATCTGGCATTGGAAAATCCTGTTCAACTGAATAATAAAAAATTCGTAAACGACATAACTGAATGGGCAAAAGATTTTCAAATACGCCATAATGCTTTAAAATCATTATTATCAATACTTAACACATATACAAATACTCCATTCCCGAAAGATCCAAGAACTCTTTTAAAAACTCCAAAGTTTACACATATTGATGCTATGGATATCGGTCACTATTGCCATCTTGGGGTTACAAACGCTCTTCAAAATATCATTTTAAGTCATTCTGATACTAATTGTACGTTGGAGACTATAAAACTTATGATTAATATCGACGGTGCTCCTATTACTGGAACGTCATCAGGAAAAGGTGTTTGGACAATTCTTTGTAAAGATTTTCATTCAAAGTCAGTACATGTAATAGGCATTTATTACGGTTCTAAGAAGCCTGCAGATCCTAACGTGTATTTATCAAAATTTGTTGAGGAAATTATACCAATAATATTAAATGGTTTTGACTATAAAGACAAAAAATATAACGTGCAAATTTACGGATTTATTTGTGACGCACCTGCCAAATCATTCATTCTGTGTACAAAGGGTCACAGTGGTTATTCTAGCTGTAGTAAATGTTTAATAGAAGGTGAATATCATAATTCCATGGTTTTTCCTATATCTGATCAAACAAATTTTCTTAGATATTGTAATGAACTCATAAGAACCGATTTGAACTTCAAAAATTTAGATTATTTGGGTGATTATCAACACAGAGAAACAATTCTGAATAAATTGCCAGATGTGGGATTGATTTCCAATGTTCCTATTGATTCTATGCATTCAGTGCATCTTGGTATCATGAGGCAGCTTATAAGACATTGGATAGGTGACAAAGACCGGAAAAATAAACATTGCAGATTGTCGCATGAAAAAATTGAACTAATTTCCAGTAGACTCGAAAATATGAAATATATTTTACCCAGTGATTTTAATAGACGTTCAAGGTCTCTAAATTATTGGAAACAATGGAAAGCTACGGAATATCGACATTTTTTATTATATTATGGTCCGTTTATTCTGAAAGATGTTTTGGAATCTGACGTATATCATAACTTTCTCTTGCTTCATACGAGTATCGTAATTCTTTCAAGTAAATCTTATATTACAGAACCTAGTAATATTGAATTCGCTCAGTCGTTAATTATACAATTCTTGCAAACATTTCAAGAAGTTTATGGCAAAAATAATGTTAGTTTCAATGTTCACAGTTTGTTACACTTAACAAAAGATGTGGAAAAGTATGGCCCGTTAGAATCTTTTAGTGCATATCCATTCGAAAGCTACATTTGTTCTATTAAAAAATTTATTCGTAAAGGAGAGAAACCATTGCAACAAATTACTAGACGAATAGCAGAGTACGAATCTGTAAAAATACTAAAATATCGCTTTGATACAAGAAAAGGAATGTTGGAATTAGAGAAAGTACAATATAATGGGATCTTGATCGATACATGTCCTCGCGGTACACAATATAAAATATTAAACATCGCTGAATTATGTCGTATTGACATATGCGACGATCGAAATAATTGTGTCATGTTAAAAGACGGAACTATAATTACTGTTTTAAATTTTATAAAAAATGGTAGCTGTTTGTATACTATTGGCAGAAAACATGTAATTAGAAAAGATTTGTATACCTTGGAAAATTTTTCAAGTGGGACATTAGGTATTAACATTGTAAGCGAAGCAAAAGATATGGAATATTGGATGTGTCAAGAAGTACTATGCAAAATTTTTAAAATCCCTTACAAGAATGAAATTATTACATTTCCAATAATTCATACTTATCAAGATTCTTAAGTTTCTGATCGGGTTTGTGTCTAATTTGGGAGATGTCTCTACTGAAATTTCGCCTCTGCGTATATAGAAAGGTTCTCTTAGGCGAGAAAATGTAAGGTGTTGCGACAATATCAAGTAACGCTATTTTAGAAGAATTACTGCAAATTTTTCTCTAAGCAATTCTGCTTTAGTCTTGATTACAAATTTGAAATGTAACGGTATTACTTAAGTACATGATGTATATACTTTAGTTAGAATGCTCCGATATTTGTTGTTATCACTCTTTGTTGATAAATTTTTATTATAATGGCAGTTGTAAGAATTTGATTAGGAATCTTTATACTACTAATAATTATATTTTTTATTTTGAAAAATATGACTTTAAACATACAAGAGAATGTCTATCTTCACGTTTCAATTTTAATTTCAAATCTATACTTTTGTGTATATCACATCGAAAATAAAAATAAATATTTCTCATAACATAATTTCAAATATAATTAAAAAGCAGTAATCAAGAACCAATCTATTTGTAAATTTTATTTGATTCTGGTGAGAAATCAAACGAAATTATAACGTAATATTCGTTCATTCATTTTTCTGGGATTATTTCAGGGATGCAATGGGGAAGTAAATACCTGAACTATAAAAATATGTTCCTCTGAATCCATTTATTATTGCGCCCTGTTAGAGGAAGCTTTGTTTTATTGTAAAAAATTTTCAATAAATATCATAGGTGATATATGTTTTAAGGTCCGAGAAGTCAAAATATGATATTTTGGAAAATATGTATGTATATTTGTGTGTATATAAAGTTATTTTAATTTAATGTATAAAGACTCATTTAATGTGTTTTTAATTAATGATGGGTGCAAAGAAAGAGTCACATGATTATACGTATGAATATTTCTTTTTAATTTTTTTCATACTACGTTTTAACGCTTAGATTTTTTATCAGAAAATCTTAGGTTATTTTAGTTTCTCTCTTTAAGTCTCTAGATGCTTTTAATTCGCTTGTATAGTAGGAAAAGTAAATTTCATACAAAAATTGAATAAAATCGAAACGACTATTCAGTAACATTTAATTTACAGTGTGTCATAGCATTATTAAAATGTCAAAGTGATTTCAAGTCATTGTATCGCATATAACGTGAGGAAAATTTTCATTCTTAAAAAAAGACCTTATTTGCCATTTTCTTGATAACTCAATTTATTTTAATCGAATCATTATGAAATTTCGTACAGATATTGCTTTTTATAAACGAAGAAACTAGTTTCTTGAACAGAATTATTGGTTAATAAGTAGTTGAGGTAATGATAGCTATTTTTTTTATTTTTATCGCTTATGCACTCTGTGTTTTTCACACTAACCCAATAACTTGTAATCGAATCATTCTATATAATTCTGATCAAATAATATATTTAAGGAACCTAAATGTGATATTTAATAATTATCTTAGTTAATCTTCATCTCCAGAAATTATGAAGAAGTATTCGATCATAAAAGATGAGGAAGGTGAGATACGAGTAGTACCAAGCAATTGGTTGACCGACGATAAAGAATCTGTTTATTGGCCTCCATACAAGGACTCAGCACGAGTTAAATCTGCTGCCATAAACTTGGAGTCAAGAAATTCCGATTGGGAACTTTACTCTTGTACTTTTATCAAGTCAAACGGTAATTGGTATCCCCTATTAATAATAGGATCCATCCTATGAATAATAGGATTGGGTGAAGTTATTGGTTCTTTGATGTTTTAGCGGCTCATTCACAGTAGCACGTACGCGAGCGCTTTTTGATAGTAATGAAACGAACATTTAAAAAAATGTTAAAAAGCTGTCATGCGTGTATGCAGTCACAATTTGCTTGCAGGTAAAAAATTACTTTGAGTACAGTCTCTTTCAGAGCTTACACTCATGCCAGCTTTTTTACATGTTTTGAAATGTTTGTGGGAGGGGGGAAGATTTCAGTTACTGTTCAAGATTCTTAAACGTTTATAAGTATGCATATAATTTTTTCAATCGGCGTAGTAGATTCCCTAAAAAGACTCCCGTACATAATCTTCAATTGAGTTGAATAGATTATTAGTCAGATACTTTACAGATGAAAGATAATAGAGTTCGACATATTCTACGCGACATTTGACGTATACTACACATAGAGCGGTCAAAAACATATGATCTTATGGAAACCACAAAAATGCAACATTTTTCAAATGGTTTTACTCAAATAACTTTCTCAAAACTGCATGGATCAAAATAAAACTTTTTTTGGATTATAGGTAGTAAGCCAATCTTTCGATTTTACGAATTGGAAACATCATAATAACTACGCAGTTGAAAAAAAATAATAAAGTGAATTTAGAAGGGGCATTGAAGCACCATAATACTGTATAGAGTGTCGCGGTGCTCGCAGCGTTGCCGGCTTTGGCGCCTAAACGCATGCGGCTAGCTTCCGCGACCCTTGATTTTTAGATAGGTAGTCGTGCTACTAAATATGTGAGTTGGACAAACAGGGTTCACCTATCATTCACGAACCTTCCACCTGTTGCGACAACGATATTTTGCGTTATTAGTTTCTATTTATATGTTTCTTTGTTACTGATTCGCGCGTTAATCTTAATACTCGCTCAATTGTAACAGTATATTGCGCATTACTATGTATATCAATGAATTGAATTAAAATCGTTTGCAATGCTCTGGATGATCTTGAGCGCACGGCTTAGTACAATACCAACACGCATGCCATACAACCGTGCATTTAGGTCACATAGGTAGCTGTTAAGTTAAGGCTTGTCTCCATGAGGCACACGGACACTGTAATATTTGCAATACAGCACGTATATTGTGAGCGGTGAGTTTAACCACAAAACTGCGCTAGAATCGGCCAAGTGTTAAAAAACGATTCTTTCTTTGTTGTTTCCAAGTCAGAATGTAGGTGTGGGTGTTGTCATGGCTAGCCATTGTCATTAGCCACTTCGCAAGTTCTCGGGCAATTGTGTTGTCAAGCACAACGCTTGCACTATGCGGGCTGTGTTGCTCACGACGCAGTGTCCGCGTGCTTGACGCAGAAAATTATTAACTTAGCCGCTGCTTATGTGACCTGATTGCACGGTTGCATAGCCTGCGTGCTGTTATTGTGCGAACCGATACGTTTGAACATATCTACTATATTGCAGAAATTCGGTTCGCTGACATCAAAAAGCGCTAGCGTACGTGTTACTGTGAATGAACCGAAATTACGAAATAAAATCTGAAATTGAGAAAAAATGAGAATATGCAAGCGATAAAATCCATGAAACGACATTTTTATTTATTTATTTTTTCAAATTAAAAACAAAATGTATAAAAATTTTTTCAGACGATTATGTTGATGCTCAAAAGGAAGCTCGATTTCCAAATCTTGACGATTTAACTGATGCTAGTGATGAGGAAAGACTTAAAGCAACTAGAGCGGCTAGAAATAAAATAACAGCTTCACCTTCCAAATTTATATCATCATTTACAAAAGTTAAACCACCTAAGACATGGGAAACTAATAATTCAGTTGACGGCAGCAAGAGCACAGAAGGAATATCTCCTAAGAAAGTCCTCCTTGCTAAAAATTCAGTGAAAAATGCGCCCCTTCTGAAATCTTTACAAGTAGATTTACAAAGAACCATCTCGCCGGCTCAAAAAAGCCTGTTCCCAAGATCAGAATTTTTAACAGGTGGACCCTCTGGTAATTCCGTAGTGAATGATTCAAGTCAAGAAGAAGAAGATGGATCAAATAACGAAGTGGAGCTGGAAATTACACTCCCTATGATCTTCGGTTTGTAATTTTTTTTTCTTACAAAAACCTTTCTACGCTATATTACTTTTTTTTAAATTATACTTAAGGGGAGAACTCCATGTAATTGGACCAAAAAAATCAATTTTTTCTATTGCATAAATTGATAGTGAAACATTTTGAAAAAATCCCAAAAATTCAGAATGAAATTCCGAATCAATTACGTACTACGGTCATTGAACGAATGCGCTTACGCGGTGTGAGGATTACTTTTCTAAACTTTGAAAGCCGTTTTCTCAAAACAACTGGTAGCCGTTTTACGTCTTCGTGAGCTACATCCTGACTTGTCTACATCGTCCCAATTTTTAAAACAATCTGTCAAATAGATTTTTAACATACAGTTTTTCCAAAAACTGTTTATTTTACCTCAGTTACAAGGAGTTCTCCTTCGTCTTTCTATCTAGTTCAGTATGTTGAAACCGCAAAATATACAAAAAAAATTATCTTTTCGACAAAATGTTTTATAGTATATTTACTGTGGCTTTTTGGCAAAATCGAATGAGTCGGCATTTCCCTAAGTTTTAATGTTATGCATATATATATATATATATATATATATATATATGCATAACATTAAAAACTGAGATATTCTGTTAAACTGAGTTAGGCATCTGACTTTTTAGGAGCATAGGTTAAAGTTTCACTCGTCTACGCTAAATATCTTGGAAGAGGGTCTCTTAAATACTAGAATGTAGTTATAACTCAGAACTGTATTCGGTTATGCCGAGAAGTCTCAGATTTGTAATGTATGTATTTCCTCAGAAAAAAGTTAGAACTCCATTTTGTTTTGTAATAATTTAAATTCATCAAATCTTCGTACAAATGTTGTTTTGTGCATAATGAAACTAGCCTTCAAAACGTCCCCGTTATCAGTATTTATGAATTTGGAATGTTCATGCTGTGATAGAAATCGTTTGTGTTTCAGAAATGCAAAAGACAATGGTAACAAAACTCAACTCCTTGGGCATCAAAGTAGATAATCTGTCAAAAAAATTACAACGCTGTCAAAATATACGCGTTGCAGACAAAGAAATTGTGGCTTCTCAAGATATGATTGAAAGCATGTCTAAAATATTTCCAATGACTGATGAGATTCCAGAAAGGAGTATGGATGGCGTGAACGAAAAAATACGCACTGACCCAACTTTCAGAAAAGAATTGGTAAATATTAGTCCAGTTATCTTATATACTTCAATTAACGTAATAATTATAATAATAGGAAATTTTTTATAAAAGTTCGATTTCGGTTTTAATGTGGGTCACAGTCCATTTTGTAAAAGTAACGATAGGGCTCTATTTCTAGCGGGTTCCGAAGTTTCTTCTTAGAGTTTTAGTGGTTTGAGGTAATTTTTTATGTTCATCGTCTCGTTTTCATCGTGAGAACGAGTTCAAACCCGCTGTAACTTGTATTTCAACTAAAAATCTCATTTTTATAGTACAGTATTTTACATAGGAAAAACTTGATTTTCTTTCTTCACTTCCTGAACCGAAATGTCTTTTGAAAAATCATAGTTTTCATATTTTTTCAAATGGTAGACAAGTGCTGGGATTTTAAACCCATAGTGAGCAGCCACATCTGTTAATTTTTCATTCATAACCTTAACGGCTTTGACATCCTCCAAAACAACTTCATGGGCGTGTTTATCATTCTGTGTCTTTCTGATATATTTTCTAACCACGACTGAAGGCTGTGAACAACATTCGTAAATCGATCATTTTCCCACATTGTGGTGGTAAACTCTAATCGCGACCGCGATTCTTGTTATAAGACGTTCGCTAGATACGCCTTTACAGAGAAAATTAATATTTTACGTATTTAGTCGCGTCGGTGGCTTAGTAGATAGGACGCCGGACTTTCGTGAAGAAGACCGGAGTCTCATTCCCGTGTGAGTCACTGGGACTTTTTTTGCAAGGAAAAATACTGTGCTCCGCTATATCCGCCAAAGCGACCGGGTTATCGTTCCTGGCGTAGGTTTTCCCACAGAAGAATTTTTTCTACTTCTTAGACGTTTAATTCAGGGAACGATAACCTGTGGGGTCTGGAAGCACATAGCCGTACAAGAAGAGGGCACAGGTCTCATGGCTACCCCGGGCATATTGGTAGTCCGAATGCTTCTCAGTGAAAATACCGCTTCTAGCCATGGGATAAATGAACGGGAAAAATGTCTCTCAAACTATGGTGGTGAGTGAGGTACCGTAAAATCCCGTAAAGGGTATAAGGAGATAAAATCGAATATAATTAAAAAATATATATGTTTTATGTACTTCAATCGTATATAATGTATTCTTAAAAAATTTTTTAGGGTCGGAAATAATTGCAAAATTTGACTGAGAATACAACTATAGGGTTTCGGTTTTGTGATATTTTGAAGGATTGATTGGTAAGGGTCATGTTCATCTATATAAAAAAACGAGCGGGTCGCGGAGTATCATAATAACTTGATAATCTACATATACGCTAGAAAATATTCGTACGAGTACAATTGGGAGAAGAACCTCAAATCAAAATGTTTTTCAGTTGCCTTAACGGTCGATAAAAAAGAAAAGTAATAAAACATCTTTTTCTTGCGTCTTATTTTTCCCAAAAAGTATTTTTTAAGAAAAAAATGTAAAAGGTGACTTGCGAATCTAGTTTAACTAAAGTCCCATAATTACTTTCACGAAATGGACTGGGGTCTACATTAACATAGAAACCCGGCTTTACCGTTTAATGTTAAGTTTAATTGATAATCGTCGATAAAAATCAATCTTATCAACGCGAAGCTAATTTTTTTTTGTCTTGGATGTAATTGCATTTTACAACCTTTGAAAGGATCTTAAGGTGGGTTACTGGTGAAACTTCTGATTTTTTTATTTATGGACCTAAACTTACAAAATTTGGGACATATATCAGTTGAAATAAAAACAAAAATTTTGATGCCCCTTAGAATTATTTTGCATGTTTTGGACCTATATTGTGAGCATTTTAATCATTTTTCCGGCTCAACTTTAAAAAGTCCCATGCGCATACCACATTCATCAAGTTTGATCTGTGGGAGCTCTTTTTCTTCTGGTAGACTCAAAGAATAATTCTTAGCAAGCAGATTTTTGTTAAACTCACTCCATACTGAATGGCACCATAAAACATACAGGAATATGAAAAAATCCCTCACTTTTCCATATTTTTTACCCTATTGCTTGAGCCTACTTAGCCCCAATTTGACCTATTAATTATTGGCTTGCTAACATTTATTCTACAGCTGTTCACAAAGAAAATGAGTCATCATACATTTAATTTGGTCAAAGTGGAATGCGCATGGTACATTTTTAATGGAAATAGAGATAACCAAACTGATATTGTCATAATTAAGTAGGATTATGCTAATACGGTGAGATTAGTCTCAAAAGATTTATAACATCCAGTACAATAACTGAACAAAATATGGTTACCCTACTCCAAGAACTTGAAATTCTATATCTATAAAAGTGTTGAAGAAAAAAAATGGAAAATCGCACCAGAAACCCACTTTCATTGGTTTTACTACTGTGGGCAAAAAGTAAGGTGAATTTGTTTGTAAAATGAAAAATCTTTATTTATTCTTCTACATCAATGTCATTCCCTTCGAAGTAATCCCCTCCCGATAAAATACACTTATGCCAACGTTTTTTCCAATCCTCGAAACATGCCAAATAGTCCCTTTCCGGTATAGCCATCAGCGCCTTCTTCGATTCAGCTCTTATCTCCTCAATCGACTCGAAACGCGTTCCCCGGAGTGGTCTCTTGAGTTTTGGAAATAGCCAGAAGTCACACGGAGCCAAATCAGGCGAATACGGTGGTTGCGGAACGATATGCGTCGAATTTTTGGCGAAATGGTCACGAAGAACGAGTGCAGTGTGAGATGGTACATTATCGTGATGCAAAAACCAAGAGTTGTTGGCCCATAATTCTGGTCTTTTTAGACGAATTGCTTCACGCAAACGACGCATAACGCTCAAATAATATTCCTTATTAACAGTTTGGCCGGGTGGAAGGAATTCATAGTGCACCACACCACGAAAATCGAAGAAAACTGTCATCATTACCTTGATTTTTGAACGACTTTGACGTGTTCTTTTCGGTCTGGCCTCGCCTTTAGCACGATATTCGCTTGATTGGTCGGTTGTTTCAGGGTCGTAAGCATAAATCCAAGTCTCATCTCCCGTAATCATGCATTTGAGCTTGTCCTGATAGTCAGAAAGCATTGTTTCACACACATCAACGCGGCGACTTTTTTGCAAGAAATTGAGCGTTTTCGGTACCAAACGAGATTTGACTTTTCGTAGGCCCAAATGGTCTTTCAAAATTGTTTTCACAGATCCTTCTGATATTCCGATCATATCAGTAAGGTCTCTAACAGTCAACCGACGATTTTCGAGCACTAATTCCTTCACTTTATTGACGTGTTGGTCATCTGTTGACGTCGATGGTCGTCCGGAGCGCTCCAAGTCATCAACACGTTCTCGACCCTCTTTGAAGTCTTTGTATCACTTATAAACATTTTTCTGCGACATGGTAGAATCACCAAAGGCCTTCCGCAACATCCTCAACGTTTCCGCAGCCGAAATTTCATTCCGCAAACAAAATTTGATGGCACTTCTTTGCTCAATTAAATCAGACATTGTAAAAATCGAAACATGCACTCTTGGTCGTTTGGTAAACACAAGCGTAAATATATTACTGATGATGACATTGACATGAAATTTGTTCCAGATGTCATTCGCAGTCCTACCAACTCAAGAAAAAAAGAACTAGCTCGAAATGTTAAGCCCGCGAAGTTTAAATTGAAAATTCACCTTACTTTTTGCCCACAGTAGTATTATAATTGATCCGAAAAAGTTTGTAAAAACGAATTCATATTTTTTTAAAGCCCTTGTGATAGAGAAGGACAATGTAAAAAATTCTCTTATGTCATAATGTTGTGTATTCCTTCAAATATCGCCATTGATTAATTGCTTATTCCCAATGTTAATTTGTTGCATAATTTCCCTTTGACTAGAGGTTTCGAGATAGTATAACTCATTTGAAATAGTATAATAATAATGAACTGCATTAAGCCCTTTAATTGATAATTAATTTTTAAATGATTTATACTACAATGATTACAGTAACAACAAAGGCAAGAAAGGACTACATATCCAGACTTAATGGAAAATTATGTATGTGCGAAAAGGTAACATACATGCATGCATACGCATACTTTCTTAAACATGAAATCCCTCTTCCCCACTCTTTTTATGAAAATATATACTGCATTTGTTAATTACTATTATTTTCGACTGAACTGAATGTTTTTACGAGCATGTCTTAGGGTAGCAGGTGAGGACAAAGATCACAGTGGTATGGATGGACATCTGCATGAATATTCTCTTGTTTGACATCAAAGGCATACTGTCATTCATAACACATGCCAGTGAATGTTGAAAACTGATACAATATTCCTGATATTATTTAAATTCCGATAAATATTGAATAGGTTTGTGGATTCGACTTAATTCGACTATATATATATATATATAACAAAAAACAGAATGACTTTTATAAATCATTCAAAATTTATCCAAGGATTGTATGTAGTTTTCAACATGAACACCCTTCATATGACTGCATATTTTTTTAAAACCAAATATTAATAGTTGAATATAATATTTCATTCTATATTTTTTGAATGCTACTATTAGCCTCAATCTTAGTTCTGATAACGTTGTAGAACTACGATGAACTATGCTAATCTTTCCACAAGTCGGCGAAACCTAGACAACTCTACGTCATCCGCTGAATAGTACAGTTTTTTGGCGTGGAATTTTCTCCTAACGGTCAGCAAGTAAAAAATGGATTGCAAAAAATTTCGTGTCAATAAAGGTGGAAATTTGAACGGTTGTCCCAAGCTTTCTACACGAGCATTTCGCACGTGAGCGTCAGGTAGAAAGTTAGGAAATTACAGTTTTCGCAACGTTATCATAGCGAAGCTTGCTATATAGTTGGTTAAAAAACAGTTTTTTGCATATTATACGTAGTGTGATGAGTTTGAGCCCTCTTCGCAGAAAGTTCAAAACTGCATGGACAACCAGAGAGTAAAATTCTTTCCGCACGTATCTCATGCCGGATCGCGCGGACACTAATAAGGGCAATCCCCCGACGGGTCATGTATTTGGTAGGTGGCCTTCTTTTGTCTCGATTCCGTGCAACAGGTCTTCGTTTGAGATATATATCTAACCTTTTATCTGATATATTAGAAAATCAAGCCTCCCTTCAAATCAAAATATTCTTGCAAGGGTGAGTTTTTGGAACGAAGTTCCTTATCGCGTGTTTACCGCAGGGACCTATATTTATTGAAAAAAAATTTTAAATATTAGGTTAACTTTATTAGAACGATTTCTACAAACCGATGGATAAGCCTGTAAATTTTTCCATTTAAACCCCATTCGGTCCCCTTAATAACCCAACTTATATAAAGTATTTACTTTTCAAAAGTGTTCGTGAACATCATCAAAATTGTACTGCGACATTATTTTTTCGACTATTTAAAAAAAATTGTTTAAAAGCAAAATTCATGCAATAAGCAATTTTTTTCAGATACTCATTACTCGACTTCAAAAAGGTCTAGACACATTTCTAAAGAAGTGAACTTATATTAAATAAAAAAAACAAATTAGTTATAAACAAAATAGTAACTATTGTAATTTCGTATTTTTCGTCTAATTCTTAAAAATTATTTTTCCACACACTGCGCGTACGGTGGTGACTGTGCGCCTTCTTAGCAAGGAGCACAAAACTACATGGCCAGCCTGGCAGTAAAGTGATTGGCGCATGCGCGATGTGCCCTCTTCCGCTCTCGGCTTAGCCTCGAGCAGTAAAACAGCGCATCGCACGGACACGAACCACTTTCCTGGAGACTGGAAATGTGGTTCTGTGTCGCCCGATGAAGGCGCAAGAGCACCACTGCGCGGGGGTGTACGGAAAAATTATATTTACGCCACGGGAGGACATTAGGCAAACACGCACTGCGTGAAATTCCGACCTCGCCTAGCTCGGTTGGCAACGTCGCGCGGGGCGTCCTTTGCCCACTGTGCTCCCTAGATGCAAAATGTACTATTTCGCGCAGAACTTTGTTGAATTCATATACATTTTTTTTTGAAATGTCGCAAAAACAATATCGCAGGGCGATTTTTCAATGTTATTCTTCAACTAGCAGATCGGAATTTCCGAACAATTTTTTTTTTCAATAGAAGGACTTGATCTCAGCTATGAATTGAGGGTACCCAAATTACAACGAACTCATCCTTGCTAGACGTATTTTGCTTTTAAAGAAGCTTTGTATTGCCAAAATATCAGGTAAAAGTTTGGATTATTTTCAACTGAATGCCTGAATCCTTAAAGGGGTTTTAATTTCGGGCAAAAAAAAGTCAACTGTCAAGTTTGAGCGAAATCTATGCCTTAAACCTTCATACGTTCTTTACATTTAGACAGTCAATGCGGTTCTGTATCGCCGATTGAGGGCGCAAAATCATCACTTCATTTAAGTGTGTAGAAATATTGTATAAAACACGGGAGTATAGTTGACATGCAAGAAGTGCATGATATGAACACGTCAAGCATTGCGTACAGTGCTTATTATACTTCTTTGGTGACTAATGTACTCTTTTAGCATGTTTGGGTGCAATTATGACTTGCGCACATGCACAGATTTATTTTCCATTCCATAACAAAATGGTGACAATTAGATGAAAACTGTTTTTAAAATTACGTGCATTAATTTTCATAAACTTTATTTGAATTGACATTCTATGTTATTAACTGGAAATACTGTAGATGCATTTTTACGTTATAATAGATAAACTTTAATATATAGAGACCATTCTCTGCAAGTCGATATACTAGTTTTATACAAAAACTTCTTCAAGTAGCATAAACTAAGGTACCTGTACTCCATATCGGACTACTAAGCGCGGACGGACTTAACTTTTGATTCGAAGCAAATTTTCAATCAAGAGTTGCTTTATTTAAAAGCTGCTATCAAAAGCTTTCAAATCAGCCCTCACACGACCAGAAAATTGCTTTTTGTCAGAAGTTACAGCAATTTTTAATCGATCTACTTTTTTCCGAATTCGAGCCAGTGTACCTAATATCGGACTTTCTGTAAAATGCGTTTTCAAAGTTCTAAATCAAAACTTAACAGGTAAAATGTTACAGATTGAGATGTCATAATTTGTTATTCTTTCGTTTTATATAGAATTTGACAAAGTTTAACTAACTAATGAAAAAAAATATGAAGTAAGTAACAGATGGCTGAATACATAATATTTAAACTTTTTATTCGATGTTGATATTAAGGTTTGGAAATGTACGATATTGGGTACTTTTGAGCATGAACAGTAATCAGGCTGGCATTTGAATAATTTATGTATTATCTTAGGTGGGGGGGGGGGGGGGAGTGAAATTTCAGCCTACCTTTGAAAAAAAGTCGTAGGGAGATGAAATTAGAATCGATAATGTAGTATTTCGCGCTAAATCCAATGTTGCTATCAAATTGTTAAAAAAATTCTTTTGACATTTTTAATTTTTTTTTCGTGGAAGAAATCAATATTTCCAAAAGCCCATTCGCTAAGTTCTTGAAAATGTAGCAATAATTTCACGTCAAGTCGAAAAAAAATGTGATATTTTGTACCAATCGAAAGTACTGCTTATGCAGAATATCCCTAATTTTTCCCGATTTTTAAACTTATAATTGAATTTTTGGCAGAATTTTCAAAATTGTCACTTTAAACTTCGACGTAGATTATTAAAATAATATTAGTTTTTAAAAATACACATCATGAAAAAAAATATATATCTATAAATATATATACATTTACCAAAAAGTCAAAGAGCGACAAAGTTTAGATCAAATTTTATAACCAAATAATGGGTATCCTTTTCCTTCTATAGATTGTAAGGGTCAGCTAAACGTGCGAGAAGTTACGGGCAATATCAGCGCCGGAATTAGCGATACTTACGGGCGACCGTCAAATTTTCCCCGAGTTTGTAGTAGAGCGCCAGGTAGCTCGGAGGCTACCGGAGGAAAATCGTACCACGACGTGTGAATGTGTTAGAGCTGTTCGACGGCGGTCGGTCCACAGATGCTGGGCTAGCGGTAGGTCGAGTGGCAGAGAGCTTCCTCGTTGTCTGATTGGCTGAGCGAAACAAGATGGCGAGGTTTCGGCGTCAGGAGTCGGTTCAGAGATACGTTGCATAAAACGACTAATAAGAATCGAGCTACGCTAGATGGACATTTAATTTTACCGCCTGCGGTGGTATCAGATTGCGATGCAACGTATCGTCTCAAATAAATTTTCAGATGCAAAATACTGTAAATGACTTAATGCTTCAGGTAGCCCGGTGGTCAATATTTATAAGTGTCGCGCCCGCGGCTGAAATTGAAAGTGATGACGGCGTGCCAAGGGATAGGAACGTAGTCAAGATATCGCAAATACAGAGAGTAATTAAAAAAAAATTGAGTCGATTTATTCCAAACAGTTTCCAAGGTGTCGCTAAAGCAAAGTTGAATTTGTAGTCGAAGATGAATGTGCAAGATGCACGACGCGTTCAAGGTCAAGGCCAGAACATCCGTGAGAAAAGTTGGGTCAGGATGAGTGTTTCACTTCTACATCGGTCTACCATGAAAGTTTTTCCGGCGTAATAGTCAGACGCGTAGTTCGCGGAGGATCGCTTTAGACAAGGTCGTGGGTCGGTAAATGCCGGTCAGCGTTGACACATGACTGTCGGAGTCGCGTCGCGAATAACGTCAGATCTGTCAATAGTGTACTTACAGCGTGATAGAGTGCGAAGATCAATATCTCGTCCCTCCAGCAACAATCTCTAGCGAGTATATTTCGTCCGAACAAACTAGTATTCACACAATATTGAAACTATGTTCAAGCACAAGAAATACGTCCTATCACTGATACAACAGGCGGCAATATGGATGAGCCGATACGTCTTCTTCGTGCAGCTCGTCGTCTGTCTCTTTTTAATTTTGTGTTAAATTCGGTGATTGGTCGCGGAGAGAAAATCAGTCATTAGTCAAAAATGTTATCAGCGAGATAATTCAGTACTACGTCATCACCTCCCCCATAATTCCCCAGTTTTGGTTGGTCAGTTAGAACCGAGTAATAGTCCCGTATAACTGAAATTATTTGATTAGTAGATCGTAGCGCGCGAATCTCGAAATCCAATACATTTATCATACGTCTGTGGAGCGGTCGGTAATCGAACGCAGATCCGTGCGAATGGTATCGAGCGTCATCTACCGTGCGTGGTCTCTCTCGCTATAGTATGCTCGTCGCCACTTTATGGATTTTCTATGCTCCGTGGTCATCAAGCTGCTCAGCTCCGCATGCTGTGTCGTCTGCTGCTCGTTCGCTTCTGAAGGTACCGCGTAGTCTGCGTGTCAGTGTGTATATATACGCGACCTTAGAGTAGCGGGTTATACCGGTGTGAGTGTATGTGCGAGGTGAGAGGGCGCTCGCTTGTCGGGTCAACTCGAGATCGGCTGCTACGCTCAAATGCTAGCTAGCATCCGCCGGCTAGGAAAGTACGCGGAGTCAGCGATTATACATCGTCGGCAGGGGATATCGTGGCCAAATTATGATGCCATTTCCGCATCATAACAATATTTAACACGCAAATATAAAAAAAATCACATTATCTCATATATAATTTGATGTAGTTCCCCCACAATAAATAAACAATAACAAAGTGGTACATGTTTTCGATGTATTTTTTCCCGTAGATTACGATAGTGTTATTAGTTTTTACGACTTACTTAGGAAGTAGGAATAGTAAAAATCCTCTAAAAATCTTTGAAAAATCTTGTTTTTAGCTTCTAGCGCTTTTTCGATAAACTTTATGATCAAACCAATAATACCATAGTGTTCTACGTGGAAAAATACATTGAAAACATATCATTTATTAGAAAATAATTAGATATGTCTGTAGGTAGTTCTTTGCCAAATTAGCTATTAATATATTGCCCTACACGCGGTAATTGGGCTACTAAAATAACTATTATTTCTGTTCAAATGCCAGTGTTAAATAATATGTTTTTCAACATATAGGATATGTTTTTAATGTATTTTTCCACGTAGAACACAACGGTGTTATTGGTTTTATCATAAAGTTTACCGAAAAAGGGCTAGAAGCTAAAAACAAGATTTTTCAAAGATTTTTAGAGGTTATTTGCTATTATAGCTTTCTAGGTAAGTCGTATTCAAAAACTAATAACACCATCGTATTCTACGGGGAAAAATACATTGAAAACATGTACCACTTTATTTTTTATTTATTTTGGGGCAACTACATCATATTATATATAAAATGATGTGATTTTTTTATAATATTTGCTTCTTAAATATATAGAAGTAAAGGGATACCCATTCTTTGCGACATTTCTTTCGGAAGCTACTGGAATAAGATACATTTTGATGGAATAAAATTTGATCTAAACCTTGTCGCTCTTTGACTTTTTCGTGTGTATATATATATATATATATATATATATATATATATATATATATATACATTTTTTCAAAATGGTTATTTTGAAAAACTAATATTATTTTCATAATCTATGTGAAAAGTACATGTTATTTGATGTATATATGTATATACCTAACATGATTCCTTCCTACTCAAAAAAATTCATGAAGTTATACAAGTTTTCAAAAATTTCAAAAATTGAAATTTTGAAATTGCTGCCAAAAATTTTGATCCGGTGAACCGACGTGAAATCGCCCATATATATATATATATATATATATAACAAAAAAAATGAAAAAAATGCTAAAAGAATTTTTTTTTATTTTTGATAGCACTATTGAATTTGTCGGGAAATACTATATTATATATATTATTTTCAGCCCCCTAAGTCATTTATAAAGGTAGGCTGAAATTTCACGTGTCCCCGCCCCTCAAATGTAGTAAAGCGCCTTGCAAAGAGCAAGAAATTACAAATCCAATGGTATTATATAGTTTTATGTTTAGAAATAATAGCATAACTTAAATAACACATACTTACTCGTAGCAAATTTTAAATTAAAAATATGATGCTATACGGGACATGAAACTCTTCTTAAAAAACGGAGTTGGCGTTTCGAAGCAAATCGTGAAATCTTAATTAATTTATACTACTAACATAATGGTAACCCATTAGAGGGCGTTAGAGCGCGAATATTTGAGTTTTGAAAAAAGTCCGATATTGGGTACAGTTTGATATTAGGTATACTGACCTCAATAGATAGTATGGCTAAAATAACTTTAGCATTATTATTTTTATTATGCTGTGAGTTGGTTTTTAATTTGTACTATTTGTATTATTTATTGAACTATATTCATGGTATGACTTATTCCTAGCTTGGTATCCCTATAGTTGAGTTGACTCTTATCGAACTCATTTAGTCGCATCACATTCATTCACTAATAATCAGATTTTAACCGTTAGATAAATGAATTGATTCCCTTTGAATTCCAGGTACTTTTTTTTAAAAGCAAAGGAGGCGCTGACATACATAGGTTTATTTACAATATTCTACCCGCTGCTATGACTAATAAGGTAGCAAACAAATACAGCTATGTAGGGCACAAGAAGAAGCATGCATTTAAAGATTTGCCGTTGTGCACAGTTATATACAGTGAGTATTATACACGGATTATTTCTGATTGTTTTTCTGAATTATATAGAAATATATTCTTTTAGAATCAGTGCGTCATCTATTTCCATCATCACAGGACGAAGAGATTCGTTCAAGAATCAGTAGCTGGTTAGATCAGTCTGGCACAAGACTCAAGAGGGAATCAGACACTGAAGCGTAAGTATTACATAGTATATTACTTTACGGGTCACCTAAGTAGTTCTCTTGTGTACAGAAAGACTGATTACCGACAAAACGTTAATAATGTAATCTTCCCTGAGGGTTCACCATTGCCTTAAAGCAATTTTCATGTTCCACGCGTGATTTCCAATTTCAAAATTACCTTTTTCATAGATATCCGATATTAAATACACTCATTTTTGCGTATCTAAAAAATATAGTATGTTTGAAAGTGGAATAGTTCGCGCTAGATTTGTCCAAATTGATCATGCGATAGCTCTTTTAAGCGGTTTTAAAATAAGACCATGGGTAAAAATTAAGAATTTTACCAGAAGTTACGTTTATTCGTGCTTATCTGTTCGATATTCGGTCCTCGAAAATTATTTGCAATGTGCTCCAAACCACTCCTCGTAATGAGAATATGCCCTCCAAGTAGTGTATGCCAACCTTTAATTAAAGAGTACTATTGTAATCATTTTTAAACTTTTCGGAAACATTTATTGATTATCTATGTGCGTCAGTAGCTTTATTTTTTGAATTTCAGTCCTATAAATACATTTTGATGAATTCCATTTTATATGCTATTTTTTGTCGGTTATGCCACCGTGATGCCATTAAAATTAGAACGCCTTGGGGCATGCTCAAGCGCGGCCTATGTGCAGATTTAGGATATATAGTGCTATAATATAATGAATTCTAGTACTTCAGATACCTATAATTTGAATTGTAATGAATAATTTTATATATAAATTTCAGAGCCGGTTCCAAAAAACGAAGAAGAGATGTAAAATATTACATCGATTTAGAGGAGAATGTAGCAGAAGAAAATTCAATGAATGAAGAATAAACTTTGTAATTTTAACTTTTTCATGTACTATTAATATAAGTAAGTTATTTATTAATAAATGAGAAACACATATTTATTTCTTGAACCTGAGAGTGAATTATTTCAATCCTTTTTTGCCGTTATATTTTAGAAATAGATCAGGAAATATTTATAATAAATATTTAGAAATGTATATGAAACGTTTTCTTCTTTCAGCGCAGTTGTCGGAAACAATTCCATATTTTTTTTAACACGGTGCGTGAAGTGGTGACTGTACGCCTTCATATCAGGAAGCACAAAACTGCATGGACAGCCTGGCAGAACAATACTGTTATATTTTATGAAATATATCCGAAATATTTCATGAAATAATCCAGGAATCTCTATCATAACTAAGCTGGAATATTTCAGGAAATGTTACAGGAGTATTTCATGAAATATATCCGGAACATTTCATCTAATATTTCTAGAATCTTTGAAGCAATTTAGCAGTAATATTCCCTTACAATACTTCTGGAATATCTCATCAAATATTCTAGGACTATATCATGAAATAATCCGGAACAATATCATGAAATATATCAGGAATATTTCACGAAATATATCCGGAACATTTGATCTAATATTTCCGGAACCTTTGAAGCAATTTAGCAGTAATATTTCATACCAATACTTCTGGAATATCTAATGAAATATTCAGTGAGTATATCATAAAATATTCCGGAACAATATCATAAAATATATCAGGAATATTTAACGAAATATATCCGGAACATTTGATATAATATTTCCGGAATCTTTGAAGCAATTTAGCAGTAATATTTCCTTTCAATACTTCTGGAATATCTCATGAAATATTCAGGGAGTATATCATGAAATATTCCGCAACAATATCATGAAATATATCAGGAATATTTCATGTAATATTTCCGGGATACTTCACGAAATACTCCCACAATCTTTAAAGCAATACATCAGTAATATTGCATGAAATAATCCAGGAATGTATATCGTAACTTAGCAGGAATATTTCATGATATACACCAGTAATATTTCAGAAAATATTTCCGAAATATTTGAAGCAATATATCAGTAATATTTCATGTAAGATATCCGTAATATTTCATGAAATATTTTAGTACGGTTTATGTGGCGGACATTCCCATATTTCCGAAATATGTCATGAAATGATCCAGGAATGTATATCGTAACTTAGCAGGAATATTTCATGAAATACACCAGTAATATTTCAGAAAATATTTCCGAAATATTTGAAGCAATATATCAGTAATATTTCCTGCAAGATATCCGTAATATTTCATGAAATATTTTAGTACGGTTTGTGTGGCGGACATTCCCATATTTCTGAAATATTTCATGAAATGATCCAGGAATGTATATCGTAACTTAGCAGGAATATTTCATGAAATACACCAGTAATATTTCAGAAAATATTTCCGAAATATTTGAAGCAATATATCAGTAATATTTCCTGCAAGATATCCGTAATATTTCATGAAATATTTTAGTACGGTTTGTGTGGCGGACATTCCCATATTTCTGAAATATTTCATGAAATGTTTCATCAATATTCCTAATTTTTCATGAAATATTTCAGAAATATTTCGGAAATATTTCATGCTCTGTGGGAGGTAGCCGTCCGCGTTCTTACGTCTCAGTATAGTTTCCGTATAGGTAGCGACTAAGCGCCACCATTCGGGTTTATGCAGCATCACCTCTACAATGTTATCGGGGGTGATGTTGCCAACTGTTGTCTCTAGTTCTCGTCTGAGTCTTGTCCAGCGGTCGCACCCGAAAAACGTGTGTTCCGCGTCGTGTTGTTCGTGTCCACAGTACTTACAATTGGGTGTTCGTAGTCTGTTCATATTGTAGAGGTACCGTCGGAAGTACCCGTGGCTCGTCCAGAGCTGGGTAACGTAGAAATTTACATTACCAAATTTCCTTCCGAGCCACAGCCTCAAGTCCCGTATCAATCGTCTCATTCAGTTACCACCTCGTTCCTCTGTCCATCGGCCTTGCCAAATGTCAATTGTCCTGTCGCGCTCAGCGATTGCCGCGTTCTTTCGTCCTATGTCTGCGCTGCTCCCATAGATCCTTTTGCGTTCAAAGGCCAGAAGATCCACGGGTATTACGCCAGCCACCACCAAAACAGCCTGCGCAGAGACTGTTCGGTAGGAGCAAGCGATTCACAGTGCGCCCTTTCTCTGTACCATCATCATCGTCTTACAGTATTTTTTGTCTTCAGGGAGTCTACCCATATTTCCGCGCCGTATAGAAGGATCGAGTGAACTGTCGCCATTAACAGTCGTCGTTTTCCCGATCTCGGTCCCGTCGTATTTGCCATCAAGCGACTAAAGGATGCTATCCTCTGCCGCTTTCCGGGTTGTTTTCTGTATATGAGGCCAGAAGGTCATCTTCGTATCGAGGGTTACCCCAAGGTACTTGACTTCCCTCTTGGTCTCTATTTCGCATGTCCCCACCCTCATGTGCAGTATCGTCTGTATGCGTCTTCTCGTGAGAAACATCAGTTCCGTTTTTTCCGTTACGAGTTGTAGTCCGTGGTCTGTCATCCATTGCCCAATTCGTCTCATGGTCTGATTTAACGCTAACTGCGTCAGCTCGGGGGACCTCTCCGTAATCACCGCCGCCACATCATCAGCGTAGGCGACGAGGGTCACTCCAAGCGGCACCCCAAGCCGAAGCAAGCTATCGTATAAGCCAATCCAGAAGTCAGGTCCCAGTATCGACCCCTGTGCCACCCCAGCGGTGGCCTGTCTTTTTACTTGTCCTTCGATCGTCTCGTACGTTATCCGTCTGTTTTTTAGGTAATCCTCCAGAACCCGAAGCAGATATCGCTGGATCCCGGAGTTGCTTTTCAGCGCCTCCAAGATATCCTTCCATCTAGCCGAATTGAAGGTATTCCTAATGTCGAGCGTCGCCAGCAACACTATAGATCGCGCTGCGTGGCAGTGTCTGTCTAGTTCTAGGAAAGAGTCGACCACCTTTTGGATCGCTTCAATCGTCGATCGACCCCTCCTGAAACCGAACTACAAATCTGATAAACCCCCTCCGGTCTGTATCGAATCCATCAGTCTCGGTCTCAGTAGTTGTTCAAAAAGTTTATCGGTCGTGTCAAGTAAACTCAACGGTCGGTAAGCCGAAGGCGTGACAGGATCGCTCCTACTTTTTGGGATAAGAACGAGCCTTGCCACCTTCCACTGGTCACTGAACGTTCCTGTCGTCAAACACGTGTTGTACAGGTCGAGGAGTATCTCCGGCCGTAGACGAGCCACAAGCCGGAGGATCTCGGATGGTACTCCGTCCGGTCCCGGTGCCTTACCCGTCTTCGTCGCATTCGTTGCTCTGATGAGCTCCTCAGCGGCAAAGGCGGGGGGCATTTGTGCGTCCACGTCATCCATCACGTTTGTCCTAATCGAGTGCGTCGGAAACAATCCGTCAACAATCCGTTCTGCTGTTTCGGCATCTTTAAGTTCCGGTGAGACTCGGGCCCCTAGTTTCCCAGTCACGATCTTGTAGCCGGTTCCTCAGGGATCCTCGTTCACCTCCTCGCAAAGCTTCCTTCAGCATCGCGTCTTGCTGTCGTGTTGTTTTCATCAGCGTCTTCCGTGCTGTTTTGTATATAGCTTGGAGGTTTTCCCTTTCGGATCCGCTCCCTGCCCTTGTCACTCATCGCCGATTTGTCAGGCATATCTTGCGTACGAGTAGCTCGGCTATCTCGTTCGTCAACCAATATTGTGGTTGTCTTTGTTGTATCTGTCGACGTTTCGGCATTGTGCTTCTGCAAAAGCTGTCTATTAACCCTTTGAAGCATACATTTTTCTCTCCAGGATATTTAGATGAAAATTTATATATAGGGCTTTTTGAGGTCGCTGATCATGAATCTGACATTAGATTGTTCGAATTTTGCATCTAAGATGGCGGATTCAGAATGGTGGACATAGATTTTTTTCTATATTCGCTTGAAAACTTTAAAATTCATAACTAACGAGTTTTAGGGGTCACTGATAACGAATCTGATATCAGGTTTCCTAAATGATGTATCCAAAATGGCGAATTCAAAATGGCGGACAGGCATTTATTTTCTATATTGGCCTGAATACTTCAAAATTCAATGTAAAGGCTTTTAGGGCTCGCTGATAACGAATCTGATATCAGATTTCCGAAATAATATAATCAAAATGGCGGATCCAAAAATTCGGATATCAAATTTCATTTTTAGGGACTTCATTTCCATGAAACGTAATTTCTAAGGGTTTTCGATCGTGCTGATAACAAATCTAATAATATAATTTAGTATTCTGTTTCAAATATTCTAGTATTTTGTTTTCTGATTAGGTGAATGAATCTCTCAAAAAAACAAATATATATATATATATATATATATATATGGCCCTCAGACCCATAGAGAGTACATTCAATACAAAGTGTTTGGCGCTCATACAAATCGCCAAAAGGTCCTCAACCCCCGACCTACGAAAAATAAATAAAGATCGGCTCTTTGCTTCTGGAGTCATCCATATATTTGTTGACACTCATTGACTAAAATAAAACATAAAAAATGCAGAAAATAATATATAAAAAATAAAAAATAATATAAAATATAAAAAATAAAAAAAATATATAAAATATAAAAAATACAAAAAAAAATATAAAATATGAAAAATACAAAAAAAAACGTAAATGGAGTTTGAACTCATCACGTCCTCGTCGTAAGCTCCGGGTCATGCCGAGAATGAGTGAAAGAAGTATCCACTATTCTGAGATATTATACTTTCAAGTCATGCAAATAAGCATGTACATCAATCATATCCTTTGGCCATCTTGGCTGCAGAATTTCAGAAAACTAGTATGATATTGATTATCACTGAGATTGAGGCACTTTAGATATGAGTTTGAGAGTATTCAAGCCAATATAAAAATATACATATCCGCCATTTTGAAAGCATTATTTCGGAAACCTGATATCAGAATCGTTATCTGCGACCCCTAAAACCCTTTAGATATGAATTTTAGAGTATTGGTATCAATA